CCAGTCTGGTGAGGGCTGAGGCCGTTTCAGGCTGGCGGGCGACTGAAGCTCCAGCCTCTCCTCTTTTTCTTTTTTTTTTATTCTGGGATTTATTTACCTTCTATAATTGAAACTTTGTTGCTGTCACTGGAGCTGAGAGCTGGCTCCTGCTCGCTGCAGCTCTGAGGCCACGGCCTGCTGAAAGCAGGTATCTGGGATTTGTTTAGCTTCTATAATTGAAACTTCATTGCTTTTGGAGCTCAGAGCGGGGCAGGCGGGGAACCTTGGCTTCCTCCATCACTGGAGCAAGCAAGCCTCCTGCTCGCTTCAGCATCTTTGTTGGTGGTTAATTTGCATATCACGTTGATTAGCCAATGGGAAGCGTAGCGAAGGTACGGTCAATTACCCTTTTGTCTTTTATTAGATAGGATATGTATGTGTACTAGGTTGTGACATGAAATATATTTCTCAAACTGAGGGACTGCTCTGGACTCATTTGTGCCCATTAAGTATGAGGGTGACTCAGCAAACTGCAAGCAATATTTCATAGCTATCTGCATCTGGGATTGGTCTCTCTCTCTCTCTCTTTCTCTCTCTCTCATAAACTCATACAGACCCAGCCTTATGTTGAATAGTTCATCACTCACTTTTTTACCTATTCTTCAAAATATGCTCATATGTTAGAAAATAGCATGTGAATATAAGTATGGCCTCATTTGGATTGATAGGTATTTTTTAAACTAGAGATTATCTTTATTCCACTAAGTACAAAGTATTCTAAACCCCAGTAAGTATAAATGGTTTCAGTTGCCTGAGTTTCTATATTCTTTGAAGTATGAAAGTAATCAAGCATTCTTTTATTAATTACCCAGCTTCTTCAAGGAGGGAGTTGATAGAATTTTAGAGAGATTAATTCATAGTAATTAATGGTTAGATTAGGGTAGGTTATATGAGTATCTAAAGCTGAATTCATTTTTAGGCAGCTGCCTGTTTGCTCTTTCCTTTTTTGTAGCATGTTAATGCAACCCTGGACCTGATCGAGGGCAGCATGACTGTTTGTACAACAAAGAAGACTTTTGATCCATACATCATCATTAGGGCCAGAGACCTAATAAAACTACTAGCAAGGAGTGTTTCATTTGAACAGGTAAACTTACAGTTACAGAGATTCTGCTTTATTTGTGCCATTAGAGATAACACAGCACTGTATCCACCCACCCGTTCTTCCCTCTTTCCTTCCCTCCCTCCCTCTCTGTGTCCCTTACTCCCCCCCACCCTCCCTCTGTAGAGTTTTCATTATTCTGCTTAGATATCAGTGTAGACTTTGAAAAGAAATGTATTTGTAAAGAATATTTTCTTTATGTTTTCAAAAGGCAGTACGAATTCTTCAGGATGATATTGCATGCGACATCATTAAAATAGGTTCTTTAGTAAGAAATAAAGAAAGGTTTGTAAAAAGAAGACAACGGCTTATTGGTCCCAAAGGATCTACATTAAAGGTACTTTTTACCAGTAGAAAACTTGAGTATCTGTTTTTGTCATTAGTTTTTCAGTGTATTTCAACTGAATTTCAACTTACTGTTCTTTGATGTAGGCATTGGAACTCTTAACAAACTGTTACATTATGGTTCAGGGAAACACGGTTTCAGCCATTGGACCTTTTAGTGGCTTAAAAGAGGTGAGACTTAATATCTTAATTTTCAGCAGAGAACAAATTAAATAATGTGATTATAATATATTGTTTTATGATTATTGTATTGTTTTAGGATGTGCTTTGTTTGATTTTCCATTAGTAAATACGTTGTACTTCATGGAATTTGAGGGAGTCATCGCTCCTGGACACTAACATATTAGTGTCCTTTGACAGTTACACACATCTCAATTAGGTCTTCACACCATCGCTCCTTCCACTACAAATTCTAAATGGGTCCCGGCCGGTTTGGCTCAGTGAATAGTGCGTCGGCCTGTGGACCAAAGGGTCCCAGGTTCGATTCCGGCCGGGGGCACGTGCCCGGGTTGCGGGCTCGATACCCCTCAATGGGGGGTGTGCAGGAGGCAGCCAAACAATGATTCTTATCATTGATGTTTATCTCTCTCTCCCTCTCCCTTTCTCTCTGAAACCAAATTTTAAATGGATATTTAAGCTCTTAGTCTGTAGCACATATGAGAAACATGATGTAGTTACATGTGCTCAAATATTAGGGAATTGAACACATGTTGTTATTTGCAGAAACGTATACAGTCGGTCGAGATCAAACTCAAATTTTCCTTTATGATACATTTCTTTTGTTTGGATTTATTATAATGTTTTCATGAACATTTATTTTAACTTGTTATGAGGAAATCTGTTGAGCAGATACTGTTCCAATTGACTCCCTTTTATACTGTTATCTGGATCTGGCTGTGAGGTCTTGCTTCTTCCTTTCCAGGGCCTTAATAGAACTTTCTTGGACCTCATTCCTAGAAATGATCTACCTTTTTCTCATGGGGCAATAATAACTAAAATACATTGAATACTTTGTAATTCTATAAAGTGTAAATATGTTATTCAGTTCTTACCACAGACCCTTGAGGTATCTTCATTTCCACATGGCAAATGAGAAAGCTGGAACAGGAAAATTAAGTGTCTTTCCCAAATAAAGTGGCAGTCCCATTATTTGAGCCTACATTTTCTGACTCTGAATCCATCTCCCCCCTAAATCACAGTTGCAGAGTGTTACACTTGTTCAATATGTCACGTTTTCACAGTACAAATGAGTAATGTCACTGTAGCCAGGGGTAACTATTATGAAAGATCTAGCAGCCACTAAGAACAATTGAAGGAACTATTCAATTTGGCAGCCATTGTCTGGTTTGTAGGATATTTTGCAATATAGTAATTCCTTTCTACCTGGTTCATTAAGATACTTATAAATGACTAATACATTTTTCTTTGCAAATTTCAGGTTCGAAAAGTAGTCCTAGATACTATGAAGAATATTCATCCAATTTATAATATTAAAGTGAGTGTTATATATTCCTGTAACAGTGATTGCCAGACTTCTTTTAGCTACAGAAAACTTTCTTGAAATAAATTTTTATAAAAGTTGAATAGACGAAACAGATAAAGTAGAGATATTTTGGGTAAATTAGAGGTAGAATTCAACCCACTCAACTCTACCCCATCCTCAAGTTACTTCCTTAAAAGCTTGGGTCTCTGTAGAGTCCAGTATTGACAGGGACACTAATATATATATATATCCCTAATATGCAAATAGACTAAACAGAACAACTGGTCGCTATGACGTGCGCTAACCACCAGGGGGCACACACAGAACATGGCAAGAGTCGGCAGCAGGTGGCAGAGCGCAGAACATGGCGGGCGTTGGCCACGGTGGGATGGTGGAGCAGGTTAGCAGGGGCACCAGACCAAGGTGGGGCGCCTGTCGCTATCTTTGGGGCGAGCCTCTGGTGGTTACTGAAAATACTTTGCTCCCACATGCCGTGGTCCCGCAGGGCACTCGCACCTGCTGCTGACGCTGGCCCCACTCACATCCACTGCCAACGCCGGCGCCCAGCGCTGACCCACATGCGAGCAGCGGCTGCCAGCCCTGATCGCCCCTAGGGCTGCTCCACCTCCCCCTACTCCTGAGAGGCGATTAGGGCCAGCAGCTGCCATTCACACCCACTGCCGGCCCCGTTCGCACTCACTGCCAGCAATGGCCCCCGCTCGCACCCACAGCCAGAGCCACTGCTCACACCTGCTGCCAGTGCCCGGCACCTGTCACGATTGCTCGGCACCGTCAGCAAGTGCAAGCAGTGGCTGCCGGCCCTAGTTGCCCCTGAGGGTTTCTCCACCTCCCCCTGCTCCTGAGGGGCAATTGGGGCAACAGCCCGCTGCATGCACCTACTGATGGCGCCGGCCCCGCTTGCACCCGCTGCTGGCACTGGCTCCAATCACTCCATGCTGTCAGCCAGTGCGAGTGGGGCCGGCGCCGTCAGCCCGTGGGAGCAGCGGTGGCTGCGGGAGCAGGGTTGCAGGCAGGCAGGGGACTGGGGGCCGTGGCAGGAGGGGCCAAGACCCGCCCCTATGCCCATGGCAGCCTCACAGCCCACAGTTCCTTTCAAGATGCATGAATTCATGCACTAGGCCCCTTGTGTATTATAGAGATCTAAATCAAGAAAGGCTTCACAGAATTTGTCATAGATTATATCAATCCTATTTCTTAGGTTGTGAGCCCATCTTTATATTTAAAGAAGTGCTCTCAGAATTATGCCTTTTTCTATTAAATAATGCCTCGGATATTTTAGATTGCAATAAAATCTTTGGGGGAGAAGAGGACTTAATACTCAAATTATTTAGCTTACCCAAAATAGCTCTGCTTTATCTGTTTTGTATGTTAGCCTTTTGAGAGAGATGTTATATCCCTGTGTGCACAAAGTTCAAGACAGTTCTTGGAAATGTAACCATGCTATAATGAGCTATTTTATTTTTGATGAGTATTTGTTGAGCAGTCCAGTTAAATTTGGTGAAGTTAAGTTTAAAAGTCTCTTTTTAGATTGACATGAAAGAACAGTTTTCAGTTACATTGGGACATTAAAGATAAAGAGAGCTAGTTATGCATCTGATGCCTGGTTTGCATCCTCCTGTGTTCCAGTGTCTATAAAATTCAAATGGAGTGGTGGAAATGTGAGAATATTAGTTTTGTCCGATCATGAGAAGGTTTGCTTTTTCCCCTGTGATATTTCATGTGCTACTGAAAGCTTCCTGCTTTCAGGGAACATTATTAAGGATTCTCCCTGCTATTAAGTTACATTTTAAGGTTTAAAGAAATAATGGTTGAAAAGCTGAATTAGTCTCTTTCATCTCAATTTATTTTAATAATTTTGAAATTTCTTAATCTAATTTTCTTATGCTTGGTTAAAAATTGAGATTACATATTCTTTTCTTTATGGAATTAGTTTAATCCTACCTAAGAGTCTAAGATCTATGTATAAGAACAATATTTATGATGTCTTAATTTAACAAATGTATGACATCTGAAATTAACATTTTTACCTTGTTTGTATATTGCATGACTAAAGACCTTAATGATTAAACGAGAGTTGGCAAAAGATTCTGAATTAAGATCACAAAGTTGGGAAAGATTTTTGCCACAGTTCAAGCACAAAAATGTGAATAAACGCAAGGAACCAAAGAAAAAAACTGTTAAGAAAGAATATACACCATTCCCACCACCACAACCAGAAAGTCAGGTAAGTATTAAATGTTGAATTTCATTACATGCAACATGAATTTCTTTACATGCTGGAGAAACTGTTATCAATTTTGTAAGAAACTTTATTGAGGGTATTTTAGGTGGAATTGCTGTGTTAATATGTGTTTGAGTTATGTAGAGATATAAGAAACTGAAGGTAAGTGTAAATAGGTTTATTTTGAGCAAAGTTCATGGGGTGGGGGCTTCATACTGTGAGTGTAAACTATATCAAGGTGGTTGGTGTTACCCATGTCCCTGGAGCCGCTGTAAATGTTCCATGGATAAAAAATTCAACAATTTAGCTCAAAATGCTCTCTACTCTACTTCAGCATCATTCCTATGACCATAAGATATATGACTGCTCCAGTTTTGAAATCTTAAATTCTACTCTAATAGCTCTCCTTTTTCTAAGTTAGAGTAACTCTCATTTTGTCAACTGTCTTCTGGTTTCCTTTCCGAAATGTCCTTTTCCATCTTGCCCATTGTTTTCTTTCATGCTCCTTTTTCCTTCTATGACTTCTTTTTCATAATGTGGCTACTACACATAGGTGGAAGAAGTCATAACTTCGGATTATATCCACTCTAAATGTATGTTTCCAACCTCAGATAGGTCCTCAGTATTGTCTGGTAGTTCTGTGAATCCTCTTAATTTTCTAGGCACTCTCCCACTCCTAGTAGATGTCATTTAATTTTATTTTACTGAAATATTTGAGACCACCAGGCAAGAACTCTTTCAACTTCCTTTTTTCTCACCTACATTTTCCCATGTGTATCAATTCTTTCTTTACCTGCTCTTTTAATTCTCTTTTCACCTATCTCTTGAGGGTTCTTGCTTCATTATTCCCTCCCTTGGAAACTCTTCCCTTTCTGCTAGTTCTTTAGGCTCAGCATGTTAACCTATCCCTTTCTGGGTACTGTCTTCCTCCTCCACATCCTTGTGTTTGAAGTTTTTCAGGTAAGGTTTGATGAAAGGTCAGAGGGAAGAAAGGATGATGGTCATCATGGTGAAAAAACAGTGGAAGTGCTGGATCATGAGGTTTCCTCGGGGAAAGGAAGAAAGGGAAGCCAGAAAGAAACTGATAGTTGGGGGAAAGTGGAGTGATCCAGATACTAAACCATGTTCCATAACACCTGCTGTACTTCTTTCTTTTTCTTTTAACTTTTTAAAAAATATTTTTATTTATTTCAAAGACAAAGGGAGAGGGAGAGAGAGAGATAGAAACATCAGTGATGAGAGAATCATTGGCTGCCTCCTGCAGGTCCCCTACTGGGAATTGCGCCCACAACCCGGGCATGTGCCCTGACCAGGAATCGAACCATGACCTCTTGATTCATAGGTCAACACTCAACCACTGGGCCACGCTAGCCGGGCCACCTGCTGTACTTCTTATAGCCCTGTCCTATAGTTAGTAATTGTCTTATCTTTTTCCCCTACACCTGTAAACAGTGACTCAACAGTCCCAATTGATTTATTCTACCACTTATTTGCTAAAAATTTATTTAAATGGAGATAATGATAACACCTATTTCAAAGAATTGTTAACGAGGATTAAATGAATTAGTAGTTGTAAAGCGCTTTCATCTGTAAAGAATTTAGAACATTGCCTTAGATATAATAATGCTATGTACATGCAAGGCAGATAAATTATCAATGTCAACTATATAGTGAATGAATGAGCCGTGGCTTTCTCTACTTAGTGTTTTAGTCACCAAATTCTGACAATCTTGCTTTTTCTTTTGCATGCCACTACCCTTTATTCCAGGTTTCTATCTCTTCTCTATTCTTCTGTACTTTAAAAAATGCTGCTCGGGCCTGGCCTGAGTGTTTGAGTTGGTTGAGTGTGGTCCCCTGCACCGAAAGGTTGCCGGTTCGATTCTCACTCAGGGCCCATACCCGAGTTGTGGGTTTGATCTCCAGTTGGGGAGCGTATTTCTTCTCTCTCTCTCTCTCTCTCTCTCTCTCTCTCTCTCTCTCTCTCTCTCTCTCTTTCTCTCTCTCTCTCTTTCTCTCCTACCATTACTTTCCTCTCTATATGCATGTCATCTGGTGAGGATTGAGAGGGAAACATGTCCCACCTCCTTCACCTGACATTCAAGTTTCTTCAACCTTCCTCAAACTATTTTTCCAGTTTCCTATTACACTTTTCTGAATTATTGACCTCCCACCCTCCTTAAAGCAGTCTCTTGTGTATTCCTTGAACACATCACCTGCTTTCCTACCTCCATGCTTTTGTGGACATATTTCCTTCAACTTAGAGTACGTTTCCTTCTTTTTTTTCATTCCCTTTATGAATTAATCATAGATTTTTGAGCCTCTGTCTTTACCTCGTGACATTTCTTCCTTAGAAAATGACTTTCATCTACATTATTTCTGAAGTAATTGTAAATACTGATTTCAACAGATTGATAAAGAATTGGCTAGTGGTGAATACTTTCTGAAGGCAAGTCAAAAGAAGCGACAGAAAATGGAAGCAATAAAGGTAAGACTGTGTTTAGCTCACAACATTAATAACAAAGTTCATAGAAACTTGAATTCTTAATTAGCTATAAATTGTGTTTCACTAATGTATGTTTTATTACTAACATAGGCTAAACAAGCAGAAGCTCTCAGTAAGAGACAAGAGGAAAGAAACAAAGCTTTCATTCCACCTAAAGAAAAGCCAGTTTTGAAACCTAAGGAAGGTAAAGCTTGTTTTCCAATTCTTGGTGTGATGTAAAAGTCTGTTATCTGAAAAGTAAACCCTTAGTGAATTGACCTAAATTTGAGTGTTAAGTAAGGAAATAACCATATCTGCTGTTAATTCACTTAGCATGTCATTAATCACTAATCCCAGGGACAGGAAACGACTGGGGTAATTGTACTTTGGTAACAGCTATTCCCCGTGTAAGTACCCGCACTGATAGTCCTCTCCTGGCTCTGGATGTGCTTGGGAAGGACCTTTTGTTTGAAAGATATAAATCAGAGAGTGACTCTTCCGAGAGATCCCTGAGCTCTGCTATCACGCCTTTCAAAAACAGCTCAGCAGAGGTTGTGATTTTCTTCTCTCATGTGATCTGTAGCTTACGTTTGATTCTATTGTTACCATGGATTTTTCATTATCTTCACCCAAAGGACACCAACAAAATAATACTAGTCATTCATTGAACTAACATTGGGAAAGCTTTAAGTTTTTATGTGATATTAGAGATGATTTTGACTTATAACTTCATGATTAATTAATTAAAATTATAGAAGTTGGAAGGATGACATAATATTCTTCATGAAATATAATTCTAAATTATTTTAACAAGTAAGGTGGAAAATTTGCATATTAATGAATGCTGTAAAGTTCCAAAATGTGGAAAAGAATATAAGTAAAAATAATCTAACTTGAAGTATGATTGAAGGGGGGTGGGGGGGGGAGGTGGCGAGGAATGTAGTTTTAATATAGTTGAATCCAGTTGAATCCAGTAATTGGTTCACATAGCTAAACTCTAATGCCATTTTCACGTATACTTTCACTAATGTGTTTTTAAAGTTGTTGTTTTTTTCTCTCTTAAAGAAATTTCTAATTTTCCTTTAGGCATATGGCAGGTGTTTTATATTTTATAACATGACCTTCCAATTATAAAAATATTCTGAAATTATTGTACTAAATACATATTCTTTATATTTTATTTGGTAAAATCTAAAGAATTAAACATATTGTGTTTTTATTTGTCTAGCTTCTACTGAAACTAAAATTGACGTGGCTGCCATCAAGGAAAAGGTTAAGAAAGCAAAGAATAAGAAACTGGGAGCTCTCACAGCTGAAGAAGTTAAGCTTAAAATGGAAGTAGATGAAAAGAAAAAGAAGAAAAAAAAGTAATACAAAAAAACCCTGAACCTAGAACTTATTAAGCTATCTCCTTTCATAAAGGACTTTGAGGTACTGGGGCATTAGTTGCCTTATGTATAGGAAGTAATACTCTGATTACTTTTTTCTGAGTTTGTTTTGTTCTTTATAACAATGTTTATATATATGGCTATTTTTTATAAATATAAATTACTAGAGGCCCGGTGCACGGATTCATGTACTGGTGGGGTCCCTCAGCCTGGCCTGCAGGGATCAGGCTGAAACCGGCAGTCCAACATCCCCCAAGGGATGTAGTAGTGCACGAAGTGGCAGGCGGCTGGGGAGGAGCCTGAGCCCAGGTCGGGAGCCACATCGCTCCTGCTCTTCCCAGCCCTGCTGTTCAGTAGGCTCACTGCTGCTCCACTGTGGTCTCCACGCGCCCGTCCTAGGGCGATACCGGCGTGCCCATGACGGAGAAGCGGCCACAGGCTCTCACCCAGTCATTCCCAATCCTGGTCCCAGTCTGGATGGGAGAGGGGGTGCAGGGGGAGTGTCCATGGGAGAGACTCGCGTGAGCTCACCATCTGGTACCCATCAGTCAGCTGAGCAGCGCTCCTGCTGTGGGAGTGCACTGACCACCCCGGGGCAGCTCCTGCATTGAGCATCTGCCCGCTGGTGGTCAGTGCACATCATAGCTACTGGTCAGACGAACTAGGCTTTTCTATATATAGATTATATTATCCATGGGTTTTTGAAAATTTTTATACTAGAGAGTTGTATATATGTCTTAGTATACATTGCACCTAATCTATTCCAGGCAGTTTTGGTCTAGCATGATTTTAAGAGTAATTCTTTAGGTTGTTTATATAGATTTTGGGAATGTGACTATTGTAATTATTCATCAAATCGAATATCTTGACACCATTGGTTAGTTTTTATATACAGGGTTGGGCAAAAATAGGTTACATTTGTGAGTACACAAAACACAGTTGTTGTTTTTTTAATATATTTTCATTGATTTCAGAGAAGAAGGGAGAGGGAGAGAGAGATAGAAACATCAATGATGAGAGAGAATCATGCCTCCTGCATGCCCCCTATGGGGATAGAGCCTGCAACCCAGGCATGTGTGCCTGACAGGGAGTCGAACCGTGACCTCCTGGTTCATAAGTCAACACTCAACCACTGAGCCGCACCGGCTGAGCTTTTTAACTTTTCTTGACAATTATATCTGCGAAATTAAGAATGTGATGTGCACCCTGGCCGCTGTGGCTCGGTTGTTTGAGCATCATCCCATGCACTGAAAGGTCTCAGGTTTGATTCCAGGTCAGGGCACATATCTAGGTTGTGGGTTTGGTCCCCAGTTGAGGTGCATGCAGGAAGCAACCAATCGATGTTTCTTTCTTACATCAATGTTTTTCTTTCCCTTTCCCTTACTCTCTCTCCAGAATCAATTTTTTATAAAAAAAATATGATGTGCTACTTATATTTTTTTCTGCATATATATTTTTTAAATATTCAACTTGAATATTGAAACAAGTGTATCCATGCACTAGGTAAAATCATCTTGTGTACCATCCAGTATGCCAAGCACATTTTGCAAAACTGTCCTGAAATGGCCCCCATCAGTATTTATTGAGCCTACCAACAGTATCTAGAAAACCACAAAGGAATTTTTTCCTCCAGTATTTGCCATAATTTGTTCACAAATAGAATCTGTTGAATAAAATCTTTCCTTCTAACCTTTACGCCCCATGTAAGTTAGCATGTATTTTCCTTTTATCTCTCTCAAGAGCCCAGGGTTTTCCATTATTGGACTGCAAACCTCAGTTTTCTGAACTTTATTCCATAAGATTAGAGACCATTTGAAGTTGGATCCGTATCAAAAGCTAAAACTCCAGCAAGTTTCTTGTTGTATTGTTACTAAAAGGAAGGGGTTTTTTTATTATTATTATTTTGGTTTTGGTTTTTAGGAAACATGCACTCTATTAATGTTTATTTGCCAGCCAGAATAGGCACCTTGGCTAAAAGGTGAATTAAATAGGCATAATTTCTACTTGCTTGGAATTTAGAGTCTAGTGGGAAAGACAGACACTAACCAATGGCAACAATTAAAAAACCTACCAAAGCACCAAGAATAAACTCAAGATTTGGGAGGACAAGTTTGGGGATGGTAGAAAATATTTATTGAGTGCTACTGTATGCCAGGTCCATATTCTAAATATCCTATCTAATAATAGACAAACATGGTAATTAACCATAACTTCGCTACCTTTCCCATTGGCTAATCAGGGCGATATGCAAATTAACTGCCACTAAGATGGCGGTTACTTTGCATACATAGGCGCAATGCTGGGAGGCAAAAGGGGAAGGACGGAAGAAGCCGCCTGCCGCTGCCG